ATTTGCAATCCTAAACATCAATGGGAAGTTTCAACCAAACAATACCAAGTTTATTTATTAATACCAAGTAAGTTTATACTTTACGATAAATTGTCCAGAAACATTAGTTAGAATCTTATTAAGATGTTAATGAGCCATAAATAAAAGTTTGTTGTATGATTATAGTTTTCTTGTAAAAGTTCAGTAATCAAAACAAAATAATCGAAACGAAAAGAAGAAAACGTGTTACAGTAGACGAAATGGATATCTTCCTACAAATTTATTATTGAGGTGATGAAATAACGGACTGAATGATCATATTGAACGGAATATATCCCTGCAAATGCCCTGGTACGGTCGAGAGTGGGGAGAGTGCTCTCCCTGTCGAAATGCTCTCACATGGCAACGCGTATATAGCCTCTGCCACGGAAGTCCTAATCACTGCCTTCTCATGGAGAGGGTGTTGTTTACGAAATTGAGAAGACGAAAAGCGAGTTGGTGGACACGGAAAGTCCACCTAGGTGAGTTGGAAAACCCTGATTCCAAACTGATGGTGCACATAGGCTCCAGTATCCTGAGGGAACAAATGGCGTATGAATCAATCATTGATCACCGGCTACCATGAGACTGCATCTCCTCACAATGCTCCACTACCTTGTGGATCAGACCTTTAGGTCAAAGGCTCTCCCCCTAAGAAAATTACCTGCTTCATCTTGGGCACCTGGACAGTATCATAGCCCTCACGCAAATCGAATGAGATTTGTGCGGCGCATATACATCTGGTGCCTCCTTGTATCAATACTTATGTGTTTAAATAAAAATAATAAAAATATTTAGCTATTATCCTAGTCTCTTTGAATAGAAAACATCCTCTAAAAAGAATAGATTTCATCCTAATTTAACATTCACCTTTAAATAACTGTTTACATTTATGTAGGAGAGTACTTTTATTGGAAAAACAGAAAGGAGTATTATTATTGTTGACAGATTTTTTCATATTCCACAGAACCCGTAGCTTAACGGACATGTTTTTAACAGTCCACTAACATTTTGTTTACTTACTTACTTACTTACTTGATCTTTAAGTTATAACCCAAGAGTTAAGTTCCCCCCGTTGCAGTCTGTTTGCTGTGTATACCACGATACCCTTCTTCGACCCAAAAATTGCTAACAAGAATTTATGGTCAGTTAGTAGAGTAAATTACTTACTACTTACTTACGCCTGTTACCCCTCGTCGAGGAGCATAGGCCGCTAACCAACATTCTCCACCCAACTCTGTCCTGAGCCTTCCTTTCCAGTTCTTCCCAGTTGCTATTCATCCTTTTCATATCGGCTTCTATTTCCCGGCGTAGTGAGTATTTTGGCCTTCCTCTTTTCCGCTTCCCTTCCGGATTCCAAGTTAGGGATTGAGTCGTGATGCACATTGGTGATTTCCTTAATGTATGTCCGATCCACTTCCAACGTCTTTTTCTAATTTCCTCTTCAGCTGGAAGCTGGTTTGTCCTCTCCCATAAAACGCTGTTGCTGATAGTGTCCGGCCGATGGATGTTGAGTATTTTGCGTAAACAATTGTTTATAAATACTTGTACCTTCCTGATGATGGCCGTAGTAGTTTTCCACGTTTCAGCTCCATGAAGTAGGACTGACTGTCTTGACGTTCGTATTAAAGATTCTGACCTTGAAATTGGTTGAAAGTTGTTTTGCGTTCCATATGTACTTCAATTGTAGAAATGCTGCCCTTGCTTTGCCAATCCTCGTCTTTACATCTGCATCCGATCCTCCTTGTTTATCAACGATGCTCCCCAGGTACTTGAATGTTTCCACCTCTTCCAGAGTTTCGCCATCAAGTGTGATTGGGTTGATGTTCTCTGTGTTGCATTTGAGAATCTTGATTTTTCCTTTGTGAATGTGGAGACCTATCGATGCGGAGGCTGCTGCTACATTTGCTGTCTTCATCTGCATTTGTTCGTATGTATGAGAGAGGAGGGCTAGGTCATCTGCGAAGTCCAAATCATCTAGTTGATTCTGAGAAGTCCATTGTATTCCGTATTTCCCCTCAGATGTCGAATTCTTCATAATCCAGTCAATCACTAGAAGGAAGAGGAATGGGGAGAGTAGACAGCCTTGTCTGACTCCAGTCTTTACTGGTAATGCATCAGTCAGCTGTCCTCCATGCATGACTTTGCACTGTAGTCCATCGTATGAGTTTTGGATAATGTTGACAATCTTTTCAGGAACTCCTTAGTGTCGAAGAAGTTTCCATAATGTTCTCCTGTCCACGCTGTCAAACGCCTTCTCATAGTCAATGAAGTTGTCGTATAGAGATTAGTTCCACTCAACTGATTGTTCAACGATGATCCGTATTGTCGCAATCTGGTCTGTGCACGACCGATCCTTACGGAATCCAGCCTGATGATCCCTAAGTTCGGCGTCTACTGCGTCTTTCATCCGATTCAGCAGCACTCTGTTGAAGACTTTTCCTGGTACTGATAACAAACTGATGCCTCTGCAGTTCTCGCATTTGCTCAGATCTCCTTTCTTTGGTATCTTGATAAGAAATCCTTCTTTCCAGTCCATTGGCACTTGTTCCTCTTCCCAAATCTTCTTGAATAGAAAGTGAAGCATATTCGCAGTTGTCCTCCAAAGTAGTTTCTTGTTCATTCAGTAGATCTTGTAGAGCCTGAAACCTGTTGTTGAGAGTTATCTTGAATTCATTGAGCTTGTCAATATCTCGAAGGAAGGCTGTATTGAACCTTTGTAGTGCTGTTTGTACAGTTGTCCAGTGTTTCTTTAGCTTCGGTCTCATCTTGGCCACAACCAGGTGGTGATCTGAAGCTATGTCAGCCCCTCTCCGGGTTCTCACATCTTCCATTGACCTTCGGAATTTTTTGTTGATACAGATGTGGTCTATCTGGTTCTCTGTGGTGTGAGCACTTCTCTATAATTGATTGCAGCCTTTCATAGAACTGATCTTTATCATCGTCGTTGCTATCAATGGTGGGTGCATAACATTGGATAACGTTCATTGTGGTCCCTTGCTTCGTTGTTCTGAATGATGCTTTGATTATCCTGGGTCCATGAGATTCCCATCCCACAAGTGCATTTCTTGCTTCTTTGGACAGCATTAGAGCAACTCCCTGAGTGTGTGGAGCGTTTTCCCCTTCGTGACCGGAGTACAGCAGCATCTCTCCCTTAACTAGCCTTTGTTGTCCAGTTTGTGTCCAATGGGTTTCGCTGATCTCGAGTACTGCAAAGTTGTATCTTCTCATTTTCATTGCTATTTGGCTGGTCTTTCCTGTCTCCCACATTGTCCGGACGTTCCATGTACCTATAAAGAGTGTTGCTCTGGTTGTTAGAAGGTGCATCGGTCTCATGACTTCCGAAGAATTTCGGCTTTCATCATGAGACGTCATAGTTATTCCTTCAAATCCCAGGACAGAGTTTAAATTGATTGAATTATTTTTTCTGGTTAGCGTTTTTTTAGCGAGTTAGCTTTTCTACGGGATGGGGTCGCTAACCCCATGCCCAACCCTCCTCCTTTAACTGAGCTTGGGACCGGCAGTAACTCCACAAGAGCTACAGGCAGAGTTTCTCGTTAAACGTGGTACTTGAATTTCGCTCAAAAAATTTATAAAAAAACAGCTTTATCGATTTTCGATTGACTGATGCCTATACCATTTTTTATATTTTTACCAAGTTTTTGTTTAACAGTAATCATACAGCCATTAAATTAACTTTCATTATTCTGTTATATTATCTAACACGCATAAGGTATTCATATTTTTTTCATTATTTTCTAACCCATTAATTCAAATGTAGGTTATATAGGTCTACTATATGGATTAAGCAATATAATCTATTTCTGAAAATGAGTACAGTACAGTACATGGAGTCTCTTTTATATAATCAGGTTGATATAGCTTGATATCTAATAATATTGAAGAAGGCTTACACTTAGAATACTAAAAACTGAGTGTGAGTGTGAGATGAAATGTTAACAAGATTTTTTCATAGTTGAGATCATAAGTCAATTGAAGCTAGACCAACATGGAAAACCTGGTAGCACTGGACGGCCATTTCGTCCTATTGTGAGACTCCTCAGCAGTGCACATCCACGATCCCGCCTCGCTAGATTCGAACCCAGGACCTACCAGTCTTGAGCCAGTGCACTGCGCACTGTTGAAGAGTCCCATAATAGGACGAAACGGCCGTCCAGTGCTTCCTGGTTTTCCATGGTGGTCTAGCTTCAATTGACTAACGCTTTCAACTATGATTGATAGTTTACAAATTAACTGTATACTGTACGGTTGTCAGATTTAAGTGAGATAGTTTGTAATTTTCATGTCAGATTCATTCGATCATCCCCACTCGTCCTCTTGTTCACTACAGTACTTGAAAGTTTAATGTCATTTTCATCGGACGATCTTATAATAAACACATATTGTTGATCAAACTTTAAATAAATAAATAGTTTACATGAGGTTTTGTTGCGATGGGTGATGTCCAAAATCTGATACTGATACATAACATCCTATCACACTAACCCCATACCTGACTACTTGAACAAGAACACAAGAGTAAGAAAGAATGTATATTGGACTAACAAATAAAATGCACAAATACTCATTTATATATACACAACTCTACTACTTAGAAGATCAATTCATTTATTAACTAATGAACTGTGCTTGTTCTTCAGGTCATTTCTGATTGTCAACGAATGACCTTCTCAATCTTCTACTTCTGATTGATTTGTCATATCAGATTTTATTTATCATTTAAAGTCGTTCGATGTCATATCTGAGCATATTGTTCTTTTTTAAATCTTGCACTTTAATTCTGTATCTAATTGTCAACGAATTTTCAATTCTTTCCAGATGACAGAAGTATAACTATGATTGTGTATGTATATATCTGTCGGAGTTTCACTAAAAGAAACAGTAAATTGTCCATTGAATTGAATGAAACGAAACATCATTTATGATAAGCAGTGATAACTTTGAAGTAATAGTAACAACTGATGAATTGCAGCTGTTGTTCACAAACTCAAGTATGTTTTACTTTTGATCACTTTTGTCACGAACTGAGATTGAGTGAAGAACAATTGGAAATTACTACCTTTAAGTGTCTTCAACAATGCTTACTTATTGCTTTAAATGGTATTAAGCTTATGACACACATTTTTATGATGAGTATATCTTCGTTTATATAATAAGTAAAAGTCCCCGAATTTAAAATCCTACCCATACTCAATTTGTAAAATAGTGTAACTTTTAAACAATCCGATCAGTTAGAAGCGTTTCATCGTAGTGAACTAGATCGATCAGTCCTGTTAGAGGAGATTGATTATGAATACAATGATCTTGAGTGCTGTTAGAGGTATGAGGGTGGTTATCACTTCCCGATCGCCCACACCGTGGAAGGTTTCTTTTAGAGGTACCTGAAAATGAAATTGGGTTAGAAGTGGTCTTAATGACCTGAGAGCGTGACCGCAGTGCCCAAGGAACAACTGCTTGAGGTTGGTCACAAACGACCTTTTTGTGAGTAATTCGCGTGTCAGCTCCGTACTTGTTGAGACCTTACCGCCGGAGACGGATATCCGTGGGATAAGGCGAGGTGTTCATTTTTAGGGTCGACCTTTTCTAACCCCACCCTCCTTGTGGGAAGGTAGCATCACTATTATACTGGTTGTCTGAAGGAAACACCTTACTGCCGTCACACCTCTGTACAGTCAGCAGTAAGACTTCGCCTTCGGACCTTGGGTTTGCTGCTTTTAGTCTTACCGCTTTTCAACCAACCTGTCTGGCATGGTAGGACCTTGAGGAATGATTGTTCCAGCCAGTATAGCTCGATTGGTTCATCACGATAGGCAAGCCCGACCACCACGTCAAGGTAGCAACAACGGTCCGGATAATTGTCAAGATAACTAACTACAACTTCAAGAATTCATTTCGAGGCTAATCAGTTGTATATACTTGATTAGGTTTTATATCATTACTTCATAAGCAATTTATTCATTTAATACTGAAGAAGGGGTTTTCTTGTGGAGATTTCATTATTTTCATAGTTGAAATCATGAGTCAATTGAAGCTAGATCACCATGGAAATCCTGAGAGCACTGGATGCGCATTGCTGAATAGTCACACAATAGGACGAAACTGCCGTCCAGTGCTTCCAGGTTTTCCATGGTGGTTTAGCTTTAATTGACTTATGATTTCAACTATAAAATGTCATGATTTATAATATTTAATAATATTCGATGTTAAAGTACTTTATACTATCTGGAATTATCTTCACATACTTTTTATACTAATAAAATGTATAAGTTATCCGTTTCATTGATCATAAACGGTGTTTGCTTTAATGTATAGTCAGGTGTTATTGTTCCGTTCAAACGTTTAGCACAAACTACTTTCTAGTTAGTGCTTGATTACTTAGGTACTTTTTTACAGGACAGGGTTGGTAACCCTATACCCAACCCCTCTCTTCTGCCTGAGCTTAGGACGGACATTAACCTTATAAGGGTTCCAGACGGAGTTAGCACACATTATTACCAATATTGATTTTGCAGTGATGTTAATTATAAGAAAATACACTTAAAAATGTTGTTCAGCTGAAGTTGTTAATCCACATCATTATCATCTTGAATTATTACACATTATTACATATTTTCCATTTGTTAGGTTGAAAATCCTGCTCCCACTGTGTCTGTACTCGAAGAAAACGTTGAAGATGGTGATATATTACAAGAAATTGGAAATGCTCAGTATACACTAGAGTTTCTTCGTCAAGTTATTCAACAATCATCTAGGTAAGAGTGTAACAAAGATAAAGATTATTTCTTGATTTAATTGACAATGATTACTGATTTCTGGTCTAGAGGGTCGTGAGGATTATTGGATTTTGTAATTTGCACCACAAAATGAATAAGTTAGAGAACTTTTACTGACTGGAAAACAATGGACAGCTAGTTTGCCTAAAAAGTGCACATTCCTGAACCAGTCGGGAAACATGTTCTGGATCTTCTATCCTTTCAGTGAGCGTATCTCCTTAAGATTTCTGAGATAAGATTAGATACCTTACACTTTGACCCATAATCAATTCATGTTATTCCACAACCATCATTCATTGCCACTGGGGATATTTATCAAATCCTCGAGTTCACTGAACTCCACTGATCACTGTTTCTAACTAAAAGAAGTTTTATGTTACGATGAAATACTTGTGCTTTGATTCTTGGTTTTCACTGGTTATCTAACTAAAGTCAGTTTTTCACAGTTGAAATCATGAATCAGTTGAAGCTAGACCACCATCGAAAACCTGGAAGCACTGGACGGTCGTTTCGTCCTATCATGGGACTCCTCAGCAGTGCGCATCCACGATCCCGCACTTGCGAGATTAGAACCCAGGACCTATCAGTCTCGAGCCAGAGCCCTTAACCGATAGACCACTGAGCCGCGAGTGCGGGATCGTGGACGCGCACTGCTGAAGAGTCCCATAATAGGACGAAACGGCCGTCCAGTGCTTCCAGGTTTTCGATGGTGGTCTAGCTTCAACTGACTCATGATTTCAACTGTGAAAATACCAAATTCTCCACAAAACCCCCTCTGTTCTGTAAAGTCAGTTTGTTATTTAAACCGACAAAACTTACTTTGTCAATAAATAAGCTTATATTTTTGTTTCTTTGAAGTATGCCTAGGGTTTGTGTGTTCTATTTAAGCTTAAAATCACATCATATTAAGCATGATTATGTCAAACACAATAAAATCGAATCTACTCATGTTTTAAGGTGAACACAATATTAGTTGGCAATTTCCATTTACTGTGGTCGATAAAGTAACTGCCTTTTCACTTTGAGTGTGGTTCATTCTATACTGAACAGCTGTTCATCTGAACTGATATGGTGATTCAATCAGAAGTAGAAGATTGAAAAGGTCATTCGTTGACAATCAGAAATGACCTGAAGAACATGCACATTTCATTAGCTAATAAATGAATTGACCTCCTAAGTAGTAGAGTTTTGTTTATACAAATGAGTATTTGTGCATTTATTGTGTTAGTCTAATACACTTTTGTAGAGAACAAGAACACGGGCGGGGGTAATCGAATGTATTTAAGCACAAATTACAGACTATATCACTAAATTCTGATAACCATACAGTAAACAGTTAATTTGCAAAATAACAATCAATTGTCTCAATCTTAACTGTTTTTTCTGCAAATATCAGTCCGTTTTCTCTGATTTCATTGTTCATACATTTTCCTACCAATTGCGCTTCATTTTAATTCTTTCCTTATCGATCCTTTGCCAAAATACATTCTATGCCTGACCATCACCATATACTACTTATATGGATATAAGTAGGCCACAACATACTTTCTCTGTCACTCTTGTGTTCTTGTTCAAGTAGTCAGATTTGAGGTTAGCGTGATAGCACGTTATTTATCAGTATCAGATTTCGGATACTCCCTATCATAACATGAATTTTAAAAATAAATTCTCAAGTGCACTTACTAATGAGTAGTATATCTTAAATTTGACCGAGGAGTTAACTGTGGAATTTCGGTTTATCATTCACTTATTAAATTATACAAAAATTAACCAACTTGTTTTATGCAAAGTTTTAAATGAACACAAACATTAACTGGTGCATTTGACAATGAAATCAAATAAGAGATTAGAGATTTTCTTCTGATGAAGAGATGAACTTTTTAAATATTGAAAATTATGAATCTATGATCTTTATCAGAAAGGGGTTTTGTGGAGATTTTAGTAATTTTATGTACTTGAAATCATCAGTCAACTGAAGATAGATCATCATGGAAAACCTGGGAGTGCTGGATCGTGGATGCACACTGCTGGGGAGTCCCACAATAGGGCGAAACGGCCATCCAGTGCTTCCAGGTTTTCGATGGTAGTCTAGCTTCAATGAACTCATGAACTTAACTTTATAAAATATATAAATTTTGTACTGTTTTTCAATCAGTACGTTAAGAATCATTTAACTTTGGTGTTACAGAATGTATTATAAATTGCCTAATGACAATTTAATCAAACAAAATTTTTATGACAAACTGATATCATCCTCAAAACTATTGTTGGAAACCATTCGGTACAGACTAGGTGTTTCGTCCACCCTTCATTTATTTCTAACGGTATCGAATCCAACACTTGCAGAACTTTTGATAAAGATAACACTCTTTAACTTAAATGCCAGAAGTTAAAATTTTGGACGAATGGATATATATCTCATGATTTAAAAGTAATTCTATCCACCATGGAAACTATATGACTTAGATTCCTTTTATGTATTGAGTCATAGGTGCATACCACCAAAGTATCATAGAATAACTGTCTATTCTTCATTGGTTTTTAATAAAAACAACGAAAAACATCTTTTATAGTTGAATCTTTATTTCAAATTTGTTACTTCAGAAATTAATCGAAAATTTGACAAGGAGTTCTTGTCTAATCAACAAGTTCTTAACCATTATTTATGTTCACTAGTTTCGTAACCCTCAAGCTGGAACTATACAGCGACTTCAACACGAGAGAAAAGACGCAAAATATACGAGAAGCACTTTGCTGCAAAGGTTCATATATGTACAGAAAATATAGGGTTTTTATAGTATTTTAAAAGTCCTTCGGTCTTTCTGAAAATTCTAGAATACTACTAAACATAGTAGCAGTGTAGTAATCAGCCAATCAGAACCTCTACATGTGATTTTTCATTTTCGCGATACCTCTAGCAGAACTTCTAATGCTTCTTAATGTTTCCTGAGCTTGTCATGTCTATTGCGAGAAATTTTCAAGATCATCCAAACAAATATTCTATGAGAAGATTTTACATTCGCTTTATCTGAATCCTTCTGTTGTAATATTTAATAAATTAAAATCACTGCTATCAATTACATTATAGATTATTATTATTATGGCATTGTAAATGATTTCGCTGAAAGTGATCTGTTTTCAATCATTTTTGTATTGGTTGTTTGAATCATTCCGTTGATGTTTGGAACTGCAATTGATCATTTTTTCAAACAACCAATTCAGAAATGAATTAAAGTTTCACCTCACTAAACAAGGTAGTAGCTATCTGGGCTAGCAAACGGTTCTGAGTTTGAGTCCCAGAGTGGAAATCAAATCCGGTATACAATTGCATTCATCTGACGAGTCCCAAAGAGGACGAAATGCACTTCCTGTATTCCATTGCTAGCCACCATCAATCTTTGTTTGCAATAATCTGCTTTCGTTGAACTAGTTTCTTGTTATTAGATATAATCTATCAAGCATCCATATAGGATTGTGTACAGTTACATTTTTTTTCTATAGTACTTCATGGGAATTGTTACTCATAATAGTTTTGAAATAGTAAATAAAATTTAAATACCACCTTAATCAAATATTAACTTAATGTTTATTCAGTAAAACAAATAAAACATTAATCACATTTTCAATGAATATTACCATTATTATAGTTGATACACATACTACTTAAATAGATTATATCATTACTTTGTTTGAATAAACAAATGAAATTCGTTTTCTTTTTCTGACATATGAATTCTCATGTGAAAATTAAATGTTTGTGAAAAATAGAGAATATACTACTTAATTAGTTCATATTATCCATATTCACTATAGTCAAGTTTTGGTCTTTTTTTTTGGATAGTTACATAAATTTCACAAGCTTTTAAGTAGATTTGCTTTAAGTAAGCCCCTTTTAAATCTATCAAGGGAATTTTCAAGTATATATGTGGTAGTTTTTTTTTTAATTGGTAAGGTGGTATTGTAGTGTGGTCTACTTATATCCATATAAGTATTATATGACAATATTTAGATATAAAATCTATTTTGGCAGAAGATCGATAAGGAAAGAACTGAAATGAAGCGCAATTGATAGGAAAATGTATGAACAATAATAATCATAGAAGACGGACTGATATTTGTAGAAGGAACAGTTAAGATTGAGACAATTGATTGTTATTTTGCAAATCAACTGTTTACTGTATGGTTATCAGAATTTAGTGATATAGTCTGTAATTTGTATTTAAATACATTCAACAGTCCCCAGTCGTGTATGTCCACTACAGTACGATATTCTAAGTTTGATATCTGTGGTTTATTATCGCATCCTATTTGAGGACCTAAATATCATATCACTCCTTTTCTAGAGACAATGAATAGATGTGGTTCAGATTAGAAACCAGTAACGGCCTCATTCTAGGTTTCTGGTATATTTTCCATTAAAGTGGGATAAAATATTTGTGAGGTGCCTGTGTTTAGTGTTTTGTTGTATCCAAAAAATCTTGGTCTTCAATTACACTCGATCTTTGCCAAAGAAATGATGGAAACAGATAAATGTATTCATGTAGTAATACAGTAAAATTGTATTCTCAAAATGAGTTACATTTTAAATAACTGAAAATGCATGTGATCATCGTTATGTGGTATAGATCATCATACTGTTAAGTACCATATGTTGTCAGTCAATTGTATACGGACTCCAGAATAAGGAACTACCATGTGAAAATCTAATTGAATTTTAGCTTTAAATAGATAGTTCGTTAATAAATTTTAGTATCTGTGATTGTTTTCCATGAAAAAGAAGCATACTTCTTATTCACAATATTCCATGTATAATGTGATTTATTAAGCACTTTATTGATTCACATAATCACCTCAACACTTCAATTTTGTATTGGAATTAGTGATAGCATTTAGCTGCCCAAAGGATCTATCCAGTCATAAATAGGAAAACAACTGTCATATGTGCATCGATTCAATATGACATAATATATATGAGTAAG